ACTCATGTAGCTCAATAAAGTTTAAACATTCCCAGTCATGGCGAATTCTCCTCTGCCTCCTGTTCTTCCTTCCCCTTTCCTTTTTCTCCTTCTTCCATCTCCCCTTCCCTTTCTCTTTCTCCTCCCTCTCCCTCTCCTTGGCTCCGTTCTTTCTCAGGAATGGTCTTCTTTCCAACACTAAGAACTTCTCAGATCTGTGTCACATCTTCCCAACTGCCCCACCCCACCACCCTGTGCCACAGACGCTCTCTCTCCGTGACCGTGTCATGCGCGGCTCTCGTCCGCTGACATCCACCTCCCAGCTTCTGCTGCGCATCTGCTACTGTGAAAAGTCCCTCTTACCTGTTCCTCACTATGCTCCGCAGCAAAAATCGAAAAGAGCTGTCTATAGCCCAAGCTTACAATTTATACCCTCTGATTCTGTCTTAGCCCCCGCTCCAGTCCCTACGTCTTCCCTGAAACTGCTCTCACTGGAGTCACCACTGATGTCCGCTGTGCTAAAGTCAATGGCCTATTCTCAGTTCTCACCATACTCGACGTTCAGTATTTAGCCTAAACAGTCACTCTCCTCTCCCTGATACATGTTCTTAACGTCTTGCACATGGCACTTCTGGTTTTCTTTCATTCTTTTTTTTGCGGGGGGGTCTTTTGAGACAGGGTCTCACTATGTAGTTGAGACTGACCTGGAACTCACTATGTAGCCCAGGCTGGTCTCGAAATCACAGCCATCCTCCTGCCTCAGCCTCCCGAGTGCTGGGATTACAGGCGTGTGCCACCACGCCCGGTGTGGTTTTCCTTCCTTCTTGCTAGTCATTCTTCCTTTACTGGTGGTTTATGTCCTCCGTGACTTTTTACTCCTAAATCGGGGAAGCTCAGGCCTCAGTCTTTCTCTCCCCTTCCCCACCTGTACAGTGTCTCTCGGCATCCTGGTGAATATCAAACACCCACGATGTTCCAGTCCCTTCTACAAAACCGTATGAGCATATGACCTACTTATATCCTCTAGTGGACTTTAAATCGTCTGTATATGACCCTAAACACCAAATAGAATCCAAATACAAATAGTGCAATATGTAAATAGTTGTTACACTGTGTTGTTTACGGAATGACGACAAGAGAAAAGTCTGTATATATTCAGCACAGGTGAAATATTTTTCCCCGTATTTTCAATCCATAGTTGTGTTGGTTAAATCCAGGGACACAAAACCCATGGATTTAGAGGGCCGACCAGACTCCTCCTTTGACCACATCTTTCCATTGGATGGCACCTGATAGCTGTCACTTGATAACTGACAACCTCCCAGACCACGCTCTACAACTCCAGCTGTGTCAGTCCTACCACTCACAAAATCGCACTGCTTTTCCGCATTATCTGTCGCATCCACCACGGGAACTCTCACCTCAGCCCAGCTTTCTCTTAAACCAACCAAACCTGTCTCGCTTGCATCCCTCTCGTCTTAGTTGATCCTAAGCCCATGTACTCCAGCCACAAACCCCAGGGTCACCTCTAGGTCTTCTTTCTCTCTCACCCCACATTCAGCCCACTGGGAAAGTCTCTTGACCCAACACTGAAATGCACCAGGAATCAGAACCCTCCTGTCACTTTTCGTCTCAGAGGTGTGCTCACCTCCCAGCTGGATTACTTTGGAGCCTCCTGCTCACCCTCTTCTTTTCATTCTCCTCCCTACAGTATATTCTCAACACAACCAAAGTGATGCTGGTAAAATGCGCCAGATGATGGGATTCTTCTGCTGAAACCCTTGTGAGACGCCACATAGGGTCTAGAGTCTTACCATGGCCTGCAGGGTGCTGCCCCCTGGGTCTCTGGGGCCCCAGTGAGCTGCTCTTCCTCTCCTTCACTCTACTCTAGGTTTACAGCCCCCACGCCAGATTCGGCAGTCCTGCCACAAGGTGGCCCCGACCAGCCCTGTGCCGGAATGGAACTGTGCAGACACCCAGCTGTCTCTCTCAGCAACTCCTACTCCTTCATCCTGTATCTCTTCCACAATGCCACCTGCCTTGACTACCTTACCTGGAACTGTGCTGTGACCCTCCTTCCCTTCCTACCTGATTTATCAATTTTTAGTTTGCATATAACACTTATCCCTTCCTAAACACTATATATTTTTATATCATATGTAGTTCATATATAATCATATAAAATAGCTGGGCATGGAACACACCTGTAATCCCAGCACTCAGGAGGCTGAGGCAGGAGAATCGCTGCAAGTTCGAGACCAGCCTGGGCTACCTAGTGAGTTCCAGGTCAGTCTTAACTACATAGAGAGACCCTGTCTCAGAAAACCAAAATAAATAAATAAATAAATAAAATAATTGCTACTATAATATAGGTACACACAGTATATAACATAGCTTATCATATGGGTTACATATTTACTACATTGATTTATCATCTCTCCTGCTAGAACGTGAACTCCCCAAGGGCAGGAACATTCTGCCTCCTTTGCTCATGAATGTGTCTCTGCCCTTACAGAAGGAAAAGTAGGCAGAGCAATCAGAAACGTACAGCAATTGCCCAGAGCACAGCTGCTGAAGGCTGAGTCCAGTCCCATCCTACGCCTTACTGGAAGTGCAGAGATAGGCAGTCCACAGCCTGCCTGGCCTTGAAGACAGGTGAGCAGGTGATTTCAAAATGTTCAAAGTCAACGGAATCCTGCAAAGAACAGCATGATCACTCGCTGGGAAGCTCATCACGGCATCATACCGAGAACTGAAAGTGTGTCAGTCCGACTCGCTGACGGTCTGCTTCATGGGTCCGTTTGACTCCGCCATCATCCCAGTGTATTGATTAGTCAGTCAACAAACACTAATCTAGTGTTGCTCTGAAAATGTTGTCGCTGTGACTAAAGTCCTCATCAATTGGCTCTAAGTAAAGATTGTTCCAAATAGGGCATATCTAACCTGCTGCCTGTGGGCTGCTTGACTTTTTACTTTTTCTTTTGTTTTTAATGTTATAATATAAATAATTTAAAAGAAAGGAAGCTTTTTGTTTACATACATTAACAATAGCATATATTTTTTATGCAGCCCAAGGCAATTCCTCCTCCTCAGTGCAGCCCAGGCGAGCCAGGCACAGGACTGACCCAATCTGGTGGAAACTTGAAAAGCACAGCTGAGGTTCGCGTGAAGCAGTTTCATTTCCGCCGTCACCGGGAACTTTGTGGCCAGTCACAGCCCGCTCCTCCCGACTGCCTGCTGCATGGGTCTCAGACCTGGCCCGCTGGTCCCCCCGCGGTGCAGGCTGCCTTCTCGGGATCAGTCTCTACCGCTCTTCCCCGACTTCACTTTTCCGGTTGAACCTAGCGGATGGGGTCCAGCGGCAGGGTTGAGACAGACAGAGGGGCGCGCTGGGCAGAATGCGAAGGGCGCTTGTTTTGAACAGGATCCAAGGCCTGAACTCGATGCTGCCTGCTGTCAGTAGGGCCCGCAAGGTGAAGACAGCAACCCAGGCTGGAGCTGAATCTTCCCGGTTTTGTTGTAAAGGATTCACTGGGAGGAGGCAAGAGAAAGAGAGGCTGGCAGCTGGGATACCAGGAAAGCCGCACGGGAGAGAGCTGAGAGGAGAACACGGACAGAATGTTTCCTCGGGTTGCTGCTGGAGAACCGCGTTTTGGGAGGGGGCCTGTGTCTGCCCTGGGCTGATGCCTCTACCGCCCTGTGACGATGTAAGGGCCACCGAGGTCCTGAGGAGTGGCCGCAGTGGGGAGGACCAGCGCGAAGCTGGAGCGCGTCGGCTGAAGGCTGGCTGGGAAATGAAAGGGCAAAGAGGAAGAGTGTGCGAGCCGACGTTTGGCTTCCAAGGGGAGGGGGAGAAAGGCACGGGGTCCACGAGGGGGAAGGGAACCAGAGGGGCTTGGGCTCCAGCATAGACTCGGGGAAGTAGCCAGCAGTAAAGAAGGGGAGAGAGAGATAAGAGCAAGGAAACACATTATCCCGAGCAGGGTTCAAGAAAGTCGAGGTATCCAGGGCTCAAGGGCACAGAGGACGGCTTGCTTAGGGACAGAGAGAGGCCCCCTGTCTGCTGCAATCCGGTGAAACTGGGGAAGGGTGGAAACCAACAGTGAGGCGTTTGAAGATGGGGGTCAGGGACCCCCACAAATCATGCCCAAGGGCCTCGGGGTTTATTGCAGAGGTTAGAAAGGAAGACCACATCTCAGAGGGAGAGAATGGGGTGCAGGGCAACTGCTGGAGGCTTGGTTGCCCTGGGGTTGGGGTACCACCCGCTAGGACCCTGCAGACAGGAATCAGGGTGGCGGAGAAGTTACTCTAGGTGGCTTCTCACTTTCCTTGTGATCCAATATTGCGACTCCATCGTCTGGCAGAAACCCTGCCTCCTTCACTGACGTTTCCTCAACAGCCAAAATATTTCCTAGCAGCCAGCAGGCCCTCAGTACATCTTAACTGAATATTTGTAGAAATGAATACTTAAATGAGCCTTTCTCCCAAACAAGCACATAAAGCCTTTTAGCGGGAATGACCTGCTTTAATGCAGAATCCTTAAATACTTTTAAGAGCTCACAAAAGCTTCTTCTCGGAGGCCTTGAAACGGAACATCATGACGCCAGTCTCCTTCCCTGACCTCAGGAGGATGCAGGCAAGCTAAGCCAGATAATGCAGGCATCAGAATGCACACTTTTAGCTTGAATTTCCCCCCTGGGTATCTTACAGCGAATTATCAGGAAAACGGTGAAATATCTATTTTTTTTTTTACTGTACAGTAATTTTTTTCTGAACCGAGCAAGAGTTTATCACTCTGATTTGCATTTAGATGCTGCCATTGTAGGTGGAGTGTGGTTTTCACCGTCCCTGATACCTCCATCTCTCTCTTCCTGCTGGTCCTGGTGACATTTACCATCAACTGAAGTGAAAAGAGGGAGAAAAGCAAGATTTCTACAAAAAGTAACTCAAGTGGCACGGTGATATAATAAAACGACAGTGCAGGCCGTGTCAAGCCCTTGTGGAGCTTCCCCAGGCCTTACCTGCGTGGAACACTTTGTTTTTTCCGTTAGTGATTCCGGAAGAGCTCGCTTCCATTTTTATCGTCCTTCGGCCTGGCGGGAGCGAGGAGTGCCTGACCACAGGCAGGCGGCGACGCGACCCCGGGCGGCTTGCCACGCTTTGCCGTTGATGGGTCTGCAGGCGCTGTTCAGCCCCATGAATAGACACACTTAAACCTGGAAGGAGAAACAGCCCGTTAGACCGGAGAAGTCCATCCTACACGGCGAACACGGCAAGTTTTGATCCGGCTGGACTTCCAGAGAACACAGCAGCTTGCTTCCAGTTCTCAAGGTGTGCCAGCAACACCAGATCTTCATGCAAAAGTAAACAGTCGTAGTCATCACAACAAAACTTTCACGAACATTCAAGAAAGACCATTCAACTTCCTATTGAAATTATTTCCAACATACTGGAAAATATGCATGTGTTTTGCATGCCATTGTCAGGAACTACAAGGCTTAAGAATTGTTGCTGGGATTCCTGGCACTTCAATAAAAATCAATAAACTTTCCGCCCGGGATTCACTGACAGATCAGAGTTGGCAACTGAGTTCACATTTACATCTCTGTTAACGCAGGATTATGTGCATTTTTAGAACTACTCTGTTCTGAAAATAAAACGGGAAGATGATGCCAAACACACCAAAAGCAAAGACAGTGGTATGAGCCCCAGGTAGCTATTACCCAGCCATAAGAACCCAGGCTCTCCCAAGCCTGCTCATCTATTCCTCTGCTCTTGCTGTTGGTTTCTTTCTTCAGTGCTGGAGGTGAAAGCAAATGTTACACATCACGTCGAGCTAGTCAAAAGCTATACTGATCGCTTTGACTCAGTCACATCGGCACTGATTACAGACACTGATGCACATCGACTGTACAAAAATCTGAGTTCAAAAGGTAGTTTTTTAAAAAATGCACTGAGCACTGTCGGAGGTTGCTAAGATCCCAGTTAGTCACTCAGAGGATGGATGAAGGAGAAGAAGTGGGCACTTAGCAGGGCTTTCCTTTACCAGCCATACTTCAAAGTACCCAGGTGGCTGATGAGAGACAGCGCTGCACTACGGAGAGTCCCTGGGAACGCAGGCTGATGGAAAGAGAATTAGGAAGTCTTTGAGGAGTCCCAGTGAAATATGGAAAGTGGCATGCTTTGTCCAAAGAATTTCTGCAAGGGCAGAGTTGGAATTCAAACTCTTAGAAAAACCCAACTCTGTTCTTCAAAAAAAAAAAAAAAAAAAAAAAAAAAACAACACAACA